AGGCCGAGGCTTTTCCGCCCGCTGAAAGCCAGCGAGAAAAACAGCGCGCGGGGAACAAAAGCCCCGCGCCTACGCCCAACCCAAATAGGGTTAGATGAGCTGCGGCCATCACCCGGCCCGGGCCACCCTCCGCAACCCGCCGCGCGCCGGGACGCAGCGCCTTATAAAGCAGCGGCCTACGCCCGCGCCGATTGGCCGAGGTCCGCCGCCACAACTGTCGCGAGATCCGGCCTCGCAAAACTTTTTTCCCCCTAAAGTTGTATTTCCGGCCGTGGGATCGGTCACAGCCCCTCCCCCACACCCCTTTAGGGGGAGATTTGCTCTAAAGGTGAAAAATAGTTTGTGCATCAGAGTGCGGTTTTCAGCCCGCTGCGGACCAGGCGCAGTGCATTAACTTAGCTTAAAAAAACAAATCAGAGCTGACCTAGCCTGCATTGCTCAATGATTAGCGTCCTGAGGGTCATGGGTTCGATTCCCGGTGACCGGGGTTGCAGGTACGATCCTTCCTCCGCCACTACCCCCCCTCCCCCCGCCCCGTGTGGGGAGCGTATGGTAGGCAGCTTCACTTTGAAGTTTCTGTCTCCCCCGCTTTCTTTCTCCCTGCCCTGAAAATAGATGGAAACATATGCTCTGGTGAGGACTTAAAAAAAAAAAAATCAGAACTCACAGAAAAAGTTGAAGGCAGGAGACGAGAACAGTGATTTTTACTGACTCTACCGTTTGTTAGGAAGAGCTTTCAAGCATTAGTTTTGTTTTTTAAAAAAAAATGTATTTTTATTGATTTCAGAGAGGAAGGGAGAGAGATAGAAATATCAATGATGAGAGAGAACCACCCATGGGCTGGCCCCCCTCCCCCTCCGCCTACCCCCCCACTGGGGATGGAGCCTGCAACTCGAGGCTCCTGCCCTTTACTGGAATGTACTCTGAGACCCTTCAGTCATGCTGTCTATCCACTGAGCAGGGCTGGTTTTACTTTTTAATGTTGTGTTGTGATTAGGTTGAAAAGAACATAAATAGCAGCAAGAGTTTTATAATGTCCAATATAATAATGTTTTACATGTAACTGACTTTTTAAAATAAATTTATTTATTTATTTATTTATTTATTTATTTATTTATTTATTTTATTGTAACTAGCTGATCTTACTTGAACTCATGTTCACTGGATGAACTCCATGGAGTTGCTACCAGTGCCTCAATCTGAGAAAAAAGTAAAATGTTAGGTGTGTCGGTTCCAAATGATTGTAAGGGCAGGGAAAATATAAATGGAGTTTTCACATTTTATTCCCCATTCCTAGATTACCTGATAAGGATCATTTATGATCTCATGTTAGAGGCTGAATATTCTACAGAATATTCCAAGCTGGCTATTGGGTTAACTACCTAGGAGACCAGTGTGGACAAAACGGGCCACATGCTGACCTGGCAAGCTCAGGGAAGGCCTGCATGGCAGCATTGCAAACTCAGAGACCTAAAGTAACCACAAAGGATGGTCTGAAATTAAAGTTTAACTAAAAGCAGTTATGGTGGGTGTTTACATCCTAGGCCAGTATCTTCACTGACAAGATCAACCTTTACCTTAACTGAGCCTATCTGTCTTTTTGCATATATAATAACGTATCCCTGAAATGTCTGGGTAACTTGTAACTTCCCTTTTCCGGACCCCTTGGGGCACAGCCTAATGTGCCTGGGCTCCAGGACAGATACCACAAATTCCTTTATTGTTACCATGTTAACTAGCGGCCTGGTGCACGTGCAATTTACACCAGCCAGAGCTTTATGTATCATGCATGCATGAGTCAACTTAGCCTTTTATATATATAGAATAAACTTGCTTAATTAGACCTGCTTTCTGATGTAGCTAAACTTTTGCCAGCAAAATAAAGCATCCCAACTTCTCTTTCAGGTAATTGTCAGCAACACAGCAGTAAATATCAACATGAAGCAGATTATTATTGTAGATCATGCAAGGAGAACAAATGGTAAAATATTATTATTTTTGTAGATCACGCAGGGAGAACAAAGGGTAAAATATTTAACTGCATCAGTGTTTGACTATATTCTGCACAGTGAGAAAACCTGAAGTCATTCTCAAGGTCCACCATTTCTTATTTCTTTTCAGTCGGGTCAAGTTTCTAAGCTTTCTGGGTAAAGTAAATCTCCGTTTTCTGGGTAATGAAAAGAAAATAGGATTCCACTGGGCTTCCTGTCTACTTACTCCAGGACTTCTGTGAGAATCAAATGAGATGAGGCACAGGAAAATGCTTCACAGACATTTGGTGACAGTGTAAATTTTTCCACCCGGCTATAGAGCAAGCCATGTTCCTGGGCTGAAGAAACTCCAAGGAAACTAGTAGTTGCTAGGGAGAGGAAGCCAGGCATTGCTATGTGACGTCATTACCCAGTGCCCACAGCCACTGTTTCCGGCCAGGCTGGGCTGTGGGCCACATTTTGTGCCATGGGGTCTGGGCAGCATTGGCTGAAATTTGGTGGGATGTCGCTCTGGGGTGGTGGTGGGGCCTCTGTTCCACTTGGGGGAAGCTGGGTGTTGCTTTGTCAGCTGCGGTCTGCGGTGCCATTTCTTTGTAAATGGCCAGTGTGTTTTATGGCAGCTCCTGAGTTGTGTCTGCCCCTGGTGGTCAGTGTGCATCATAGCAACCGGTCAGTCAGTCAGAGGGACACTTAGCATATTAGCCTTTTATATATATAGATTGTTCCTGCACCCACCTAAGTATGTGTCTATCATTTTACTTTTTATCCAAAACCAGGGCTTCCTCCCCTCCCCCCCCTTTGCTTTCTCCAGCCTCTCTAATCTATCACCCTGCCTCTCTAGTCTATCACCAGTGGATTTCATGTAACCCACCTACATCCCTCCTTTGATTGCAATGTATAAAAAAAGAGAAAAACCCGCCATTCTCCGGAGCATTATCTCAATCTGTTGAGGTTCTGCTTCCCGGCAATTGTCGACAGTTTGGCTCAAATAAACTCACAAAAATTCTTTATAGGTTTGAATGTTTTTACGTTAACACCAGGATAAGGACGATGTGCCCACCTAACCTGGCAAGTTATTTCAGAATCACTTTAAACTGAAGTCTCTTAACCTGTTTAAATCTCAATTTCTTAATTTGTAAAATGGGAATAATCATTGTCTCTCTGGGATGTTGATGTTTAAATTAGGTAAATATATAATTAGCCCCACTTTCTTTAGGGAAAAAAAAAGTACTTTAAGAATTCTAAAGTGAGGACAAAAGACCAGTAAACCAAAGGATAAGAATCCTATATAATAAAAGCCTAACATGCTAAGTGTCTGACTGTTCATTCGACCATTTGACCAGTCGCTATGACACGCACTGACCACCAGGGGGAAGACGCTCCAAACGGTAGGTTAGCTTGCAGCTGGGGTCCAGCTGATTGGGACTGGGCAAGAGGGACTGGACACACCCTGGAACCCTCCTTTAGTCCCTCCCTGGCCCTAGTCATGCACTGCTAGGGTCCTCTGGCCTGGCCTGCACCCTCTTGCAATCCAGGATCCTTCGGGGATGTCGGAGAGCTGGTTTCAACCCGATCCCCACAGGCCAGGCTGAGGGACCACACTGGTGCACAAATTTGTGCACTGGGCCTCTAGTGTAGAAATAAAATGGTCAATAGACGTGTTTGTGTGTGTGTGTGTGTGTGTGTGTGTGTGTGTGTGTGTGATATGATGTGCTGGAGGACACAGTCAATTTAGACTCCATGGAGGAAGTAGCATCTGAACTAGACTATACATTCTCTAATTCTATGAGCAAAAAGTTCCTTTGGGACATTATCTCATTTGAAACTCAGTATGACCCTGTGAGACAGATTGGGATTAGCAACCCCACCTTATGGATGAGGAACTTGATCTTCAAGGTGTTTAAACGATTTGCTTAAACAGCACAGCTGGTAGGTGGCAGGGCTTAGGCCCCAACCCACATATGCTGCCCCTGAATTCAAAGGGAAGTAAATTCCGTCTGTCCTTCAAGCCCAGTCCCAGAGCCAAATCTACCAGAAAGTCTTCCTTGAATCCTTAAGGTATTTTCCCTCCTATTAAACCCGAGCATTTTATACTTCACTTAAGATACCAAATCACTTTCTACCTTGCATTATGATAATTAAGGTATGGATTCTCCTTATACTAGACTGCTGGCTTCCTTGGGACAGGATCTGACTCCTGATTTAGTGTAGTGATTTGCATAGAGTGGATACTATACATACTTTGAGTTATGTCAATACTGCCATCATTCTTTCTGATACACAGGTCATTTCAGACCTTTTTTCCCCTTCACACCTAGCTAATTAGGTACCAAGACTTGTCTGTTTTTCATAATTTGTTTTTAAGTCCTATTGCCTATAATCTTGAATACAAGACTTAACCATTTAAAAAAAATTTATTTATTTCAGAGAGGAAGGGAGAGGGAGAGGAAGAGATAGAAACATCAATGATGAGAGAGAATCATTACTCGGCTACACCCCCTACCAAGGATACAGCCCGCAACCCAGGCATGTGCCCTGACCAGGAATCAAACTGTGTCCTCCTGGTTCATAGGTTGACGCTAAACCAATGAGCCACACCAGCTAAACCAAGACTCAACTATATTATGTCTAGTTTTTAACTGATCATCAAATCTCCAGAGCCTCCCCAATTTATCCTCCGAATTATTGCCACATTCATCTCAATTCCCTTATGTCTTCTGCTTTTACATCTTTAATTGTTCCCCTTTGCTTATACGACATTTAACACAAAGCCTTCCAGCCTCTGGCCTTAATTTACCTTCCTAGTGTTGCTCTTAGTCTGCTCCATATGAGTTTTTTCTTCATTTTAACAAAAGCATTCACTGAACATGCCTTGAATATGCTTAGTTCGTTTTCATCTCTAGCCCCTTGTTCATTTCCATTATGCTTTTCTGGATATCTGCCCTCTGTCCCTCTCCCCCTACCCATCCTAATGCCATTCCATCTATGATGGCATACTTTTGCTATGAAATCTTTCCTCATAGCAACCTTTCTTTCCTTAAACTTCATCGAACTTAAATCTACATCACTCATTTGGCACATAACATGTTGCACAACACAGTCGTTCTCTCTCCAGGGGAAATGTAAGATCTCCAAAGTCAAAAATAATGTTGCCTGTAGCATTTAATTTCGTCCTACTCAATAAACATGTTGTTTTACTGCTTCACCACTATTCTCCCCATTACAGAAATGCAACAGAGACATGGACATTCCGACAATTGAAATATTTTCTGTCCTCCCAGAAACATAATATCCAAAGTTTTCTGTCCCACACACTAGAAACAGTTTCTTGTAAGCATTTTACTCATATTCAGAAGCATCTTTGGTGTACTATGTTGGGACCTACTTCTTTAAACTCTGCAGCAGTGATCCACACATCTTGGAAGGCAGGCAGGGAGGCAAGAATAGAGCCTCCCATCCACACAGATATTTTCCGTTCTGGGGGAGCTCTGACCTGCACAGGGGTATTGGGAGGCGCCATGTTTGCTATATCTTTAATGAGCCGCTTGTCTAAGTTGGGGAACAAGGTTGATCCCCCAGCAAGGATAATATTGGAGAAAAGGGAATGCCTCAGATCTTTATCGCATTTCATTATGCTGCTGAAGCACATCTTATCAATGCCCATCGCCTCGAGGTTCATGAGAGAGGGACAAAAGAGGGCCTCTGGACATTTAAAGAGCTGGTCGTAGAGCTTGATTACCTTCCCGTCAGGTAGCTGGTAAACTTTCTCCATACGACTACATTTCTGGGCCATTTCCTCTTCATAGTTCATGGCCACGTAACAAGAGGTTTCCTTAATTTCTGTGACAATCCTCCTGTCGGTAGCACTGAGCAGTATGATGCCATGGTCCTTCAACAGACTCATGAGGTAGTTGGTGAGGTCAAAGCCAGCCAGATGTAGCTGCTGGACACCATGAGGCAAACAGTAACCTTCAAAAATGGGCACACACTGCGTCACCCCAGCCCCTGAGTTCATCACAAAGCCAGTGGTGAAGCCAGCAGCAAAGAGAGCCAGCACCCCCTGGATGGACATATAGAAGGCAGGAACCCCCAGCTGCTCAAAAACTATTTCGGTGATCTGTTGCCGGTTGGCGAGTGGGTTCAGTGCTGGCTCAGTAATCAAAACCGGGTGATCGCCGGGCTTTAGCTTCAGGCTCTGGTCGTAGATATGCTTCCACATGATCTCCATGTCCCCCCAGGAAGTAATGAGACCACGCTCCACTGGGTAGCTGTAGAAAGAACAATAGCATCAGTGGCAGTGTCTACCCTTCCAACCTGGGTTAATTCCCAGATTTATCACTAGGATCCCTTTATGGCCAGTGACTGCCAGGGTTTCTCAGAGGAGGTAACTACCAGCAAAAGTAGAACAACTACTTTCCTCTGCAATTTCTGTTGCTTTCCATTCCCCACCTCCACTTGGGAAAACCCCCTTGTGAGTTACAAAAGTTGGGGGGAGGGGGATGTTCACATAACAGTACAATTTTATTACCAATTTGAAACAACCACCCAACCGACAAAGGTACCATGAATTAAGTAACATGCTTAAGTGAACTTGCATTTTATGAGTGCAACTGAAATTTATTTTATTTTATTTATTTATTTTTTTTTGGAGATGGTGTGTTGGGAGGAGGACAGGGAGTTGAGGGTCGGGGAATGTTGGGAGGTGGGGAGGCGTGTGGGTGGAGGAGGTAAGGGTGAAGGAGTGGTCAGGATTCGAGTGCAACTTAAATTTATATGTTTGCGTACATTTGTACAGATCCAGAGAGCAAGTAATATTCACTCATTAGATGCTTCGTATCCCGGGACGGCTGTGGCCCAAGCATTTCCAATAAGGCCGGGGAGCTGCGGCTCTCCTGGCTTCCTCACCTTTTCTCTCACCCTCTGAGCACCTCATCTGGGCTCCCCCGCCTCCCACTCCCCGCGGGTCCTGCAGGCCGAGAGAAGGCGGTACCTGATGAACAGCGAGCATCTCTGGGTCTGCGCCTGGTCACCCACGCACAGCTCCTGCATGCCCTGGGCCCACCTCTGGCCTTTGACACGGCCGATAATGTTCGGGTACATCAACTGCGGCTCCCGGGACCCAGCCAGGCCCGCCTTGAT